TGCAAGGGAGGCGGAAGGGGAGTCTCCGAAGGAACCAAACAGATGCCGAAGCCAAACCCGACCCCGCGGGCAGATCAGCACGTCGAAGTTCAGACTCCCACACAACTGCTCGAGCAACCGCTGAACAACCCGGGACTCCCTCGTGAACAGCCAAAGGCGGGACCACAGCCGCAGCAACACTTCTGGAGGGAAAGACAAGGAGCAGCCCAAGAGCCCTAAACAAGGCTCAGCCAGGTTCAAACCCGGGACGGAAACAGATGGAACGGCCTCCAGATCACCAGAAAAGAACCACACCCCTGGTGAGCAGACAAGCGGACCGACTGGGAGCCCACACAAGCCAGTCGTCGAGGTAGGCCAGACACCGAATCCCAAGCAGACTCAGACAGGGCACCAAGATCCAGTAAAGATGAAGAAAAAAAAAAAAAAAAACACCAAGCGCCAATTAAAAAATAGGGAAGGCAACAAAAGCGGCAAGCCTGAAGCCCCATGTCTGCAAAGAGCAGATGAGAACCCCAGAAGGATGGGGCGGATCGACCACGTCCAACGCACCCACTAAGATGACATGATGAAGTGCAGAGGAAGAAGCCCACCACGCCAGCCCTGAACCCCCCCAAAGGGGGAGAAGCCGTCCACCGCCACCACCAGAGGCCGGAAGACAATCAAAAGCGCCCACTAACTGCGGGACCATGCGAGAGTCAACAGAGCAAGCTGCTCCCCCAGCGCCCCATCAACAGAGAAGGGAACAGAGCCCCTTCCGAAAGAAAAAGTACACACACATATGTATATACATATGTATATACACATACATATACACATACACATAAGGTATGTTACACATGTGTGTATGCACATACACATGTGCACACACACACACACACAGTGTACACCTGTACATGTGTTCACACACATACACGTGAAAAGAAAATTACAAGCCGCCGACCAATGGGCAGAGAGCACCACACCGGCCAGGCGAAGAAGGCACAAAACTGCTTCAAAAGGCCCACCTCGACAACAAAACCTCAAAGTCCAGCATGACCACAATACGTGCAAAGACCCAAAAAGATCAGTCTGCAAGCCAGTAAGACCCCGGAACTCCAGAAGGCAGAACCGAGCCACACACGAGGAAACAAAGCCCCCTGAACCCACAAAGGGGGCCCCAAGAGGAAGAACCACCGGAACGAAACCAAAGAACCCGAAGGAATCCGGAATCGAACCAAGGGGAGCCCAAACCACCACATTTGCCGGAGGAGATACACCACAGAAATGCAAAGCACAACCCCCAGACAGAACCCCTAGGCAAACGGTCAAAACAGACCGAAAACCGAGGGACATGGTGTGGGAGCAAGCATAACAGCCAGGGACACTGAGCTGAAACCCAAGGGCCCAGACCCAAAACAGAGAAAATGGAAAACACGGTGTAAAATAAACACTGAAACATTCCCAGAGGAACAGGAAACGGGCAGAAAACACCAGATAAGCAAAGAAATGACAACAGGAGAATAAAACCCCTGAAAAAGGTGAAAACTCACCCAAGACGCTGGCTCGCACACCCAGGAGCATGTAAACAAACTGTAATGCCAGGAAACCGGCAGAAGAAAATGGCCACCAGAACAGAGGGCTGTGGCCGACGCCAAAGACACAAAAACATGCCAGCAAAAGTGGGAAGCAAGCAGACTGGATGGATGAAAAACTCCACCCAAAAGCAGAAAAACCCAAGCAAGGGCAAACCACCCCAGAATTGCTAACAGGCATCCCCCCACAGCCCTGGGAACCAGCAACTGAGGCCCCGGGGCAGAGCTGTCCTCCAAGCCCTCCGCCCTTAAAAAAAAAGGAAGAGTCCATGGGAAAGGCAGCAAGATAGGGCCGTTGTTAAGAACAAGAAGCATTGGCACGAGGAACAGGTTCGAAAACCTCCGTCCCCCAACCCGAACGGGGCAGCCCCCGAAAACCGCCCGAGTCTCGGCCCCAACCCCGAAACCCGCAGACGGTCCGGAGCCAGGAACAGGGAAGGAAAGAAGCAAACAGCACCTAACCAAAACGGGGCGGCCTCGGGGCATCCGAGTGGGAAACCAACCCAGCGTGTTGCAGCAACCTAACGTAGCTTGCAATACGGATGCCGCCTGTAATCTGAACAGTATTAACATCAGGAGAGTACTGGAGAACAAGCAGAGAATCTCTCTCGCAAGACTCCGGGTCGAGGTGTCTGTGACCCAACAGGCAACATAACGGAGGTAAAAGTGGCGACTGTCACCCGGAGACAAGGGCACAGCAACCAACGATCCCGTACAAGACAGGTTGGAACCCGGAAGACACATTCAATGGTCCACCGAGCCCAGACAGGGGTTACCAGGGCCCGTAGGCTGACTGCTACGGGAAGCCCGAGCAAGGTGTTGCTAACCAGTTAAGAAACCCAAAAATAACAAGAGGGTAGAGGATAGCACTGAAAACCCCTGAGATGTGTACAATCACGGGGGCCTAGCAGAGGGCCACCAAACACTACCAGTGGAATTATAGCCATGCTGGGCAGACCCCCACCAGGCAATTGAAAATATAAACAAAAGAAAAACCCCGAAAAAGTACACCGTCACCAGAGGAAATAGGAACTGGTCGCCGCTTAGGTGGCAGGACGCGCAACACCTTGACGCCCTAACCAGCACAATACCAGTCCCTACCTAGGGCCAAACAAGGGCCCTAAGCCCCAGCTGGCCCCAAGAGTGAGGCAAATGCCGAGCAGCAAGAACCTCTACGGGAATGGTTCTCGAACGCCCCAGGGAAGATAACCCTGTCACGCAGGGCGCTTAGGGAAGAAAGCCCCTAAGTGCATGCAGCCGTGACACTGATGAGGTACTCCTGGCCACCGCACAACATAACACACTGCAGTGAACGCCGCACAAGGCAAACACTGCCTAGGAAACTGAGGCCAGAGAAGCGTCTATCCCGGTTGACATTAGCTTACGAACTGATGCTAGGCAGCGGGTACGATAGGTCCGGGGCTCCCCCCTCCCCCTTTCGGGGCGGGGAGGGCTGCGCGGACGATCGGCGCAGCAGTAAAGTGTGATGTTTGCTTGTTTCCTTGTTTCCTTGGGATTGTAGGGAGTTTCTACCTCTGTTCGGTTTTTTGTTTTAGTTTTTTACAATGTGGGGTTTGTTTTATTTTGCCTACCTTTCTGGGTGCCTGACCCCGGTCGATGGCAGATAATGAAAACCCCAACCACAAGGGGGTTTTCCAGGGCCATTGCTCCCTGAAACCTCTCTGAAGGGGCCAGGTTCTGGCACTGGTCCCTGGTAGGTTTGAACTCCTTAGCTAATGGCCCAGTGTAATATAACATACATTAGCCCGATAAGCTCCAGGGAGCCATAGGGGCTCCCCACAGAAAAGAATATTTTTTCTTCATTCCTGCTTTCATTTAAACGTTTTGCCTTGCTGAGGTTCAGTTTCAGCTTCTCTCTGTCTTCTTTTGAAAGATCTCGTCTTAACGACCACACTTTCCCTACCTCATCACTTTGTAATTTTCTAGCATTCCTTAGTACTTCTTCCATCTGTTTGGCACCGTTTAGGGTGATCCCCAAAGGTCGATCTTTCCCTTTTACGTACCTGCCTATTCTCCTGTAGTCGCACACATTCTCTATGGTTGTAAGACCTTCCACGAGGCCAACAATTTTATCTACTACTTTCTCTTCTTCTACAGCTCTTTCTGACCTAGATGTTATCGCCTTTTCTTTGCAGCCAAAAATGATCAGAGACTTGCTCCGATCAACTGTGTTTTGCACCAACTTCGGGTTAGATGCCAATTCTTTTCTCACTTCCAGCCTAATGTTTGTTTTATCTTGGTTGCTGCAGTGTTTGACTTCCTTTACTGCTTCTTCAATTTTTTCCTTCTCCTTGGCCACTTGTGCATAAGTGAGTTGCATATCTTTCTTGCACTGTTCTATTCCCTGTGTAACTTCCTCCATCTGTGCTGACAAAAGCTGTTTCTCCTGTTGAATTTCCTTGCCTAACCTATTGTAGTCATTTATGTTTAAATTTACTTTAACTTCTTCCAAAGCTATTTTTAAGAGTTTATTTTCTTCTTTCATGGCTTTGTAATTTGTTTCCAATTGATTCTTGTTCTTGCACAAGTCTTTCACTAACCTCTCAAGACCTGAAACCTTACTACTCAAGTGCTCATTACTTTCTTTCAATTTGCTGATTATTTCTTCATGATAGTTCACTATAATATCTAATTTTGCCAATTTGTTGTGTAGACTGCTTATATCAATGTTTTCTTCATTAAAACCCCCCAAATCTAGCTCTCTTTTTGTTTTTCCCCTTGCCAGTGGCCATCTTGAATGTTCTTCTCTGCACTGTAAACACTAGGGCAACTTTTTCTCATCCGATTTTTCACTTCCCTTAGTACTTTCCTGTTATCTCACCTATTTTTCAAGAGCACTATACCTTTATGTTCTCTGGGACACCACTCACTACCATCAACCTGTACTACAATACTTAGGATTGTTGAAATATGCTGGAGCTCCTCTGCTGCAAGTGTTGACCCTAGGGGTGTCACCTTTTGAATGAATTTGTGTACAAAGTTACAGGTTTGTGACAGTAAAGAAAGTTCTTATTGCTGCCACCATTATACACTGTACAGTAAAAGCCATCCTTATGCATCATGGTATCTATGTTCCTGAAGAATGCAGTGTTATTTTTAAAAATAAGCTCTGAACTGAATATCACACAGGGTTAATAGCATTAGAGTAACAGTTCAAAGGTCTTGTACAATTTATATTTTAACATTTCTACAATTATCATCATTACATGCAAAACCTCTTGACCTCACAAAATCTCATTAGTACATGCAAAAAACCTACCTGAAAGTGACTAAAATCATGTGTAAATTGCCACTCAAGACATATTTAGCTGTACAACTAAAATTGTGAAGCCTCAGGAAAGTACTTTTAAGTAAACAATTCAGTACTGCACAAGTGATTTAATAAACACTACAAGAAAAATACTGAACTTGCCTTGGTCACATCAGGACACGGAGCATAAGCTGAGACAACCAGAGACCCAGGAGCCTTCACCACACTGCTGGTGCCTGCCACTCCTGGCACTCGTGCTGCCATGCTCAACGAGTCCTTGCCACCATCCACACCCACACCAACAGTTTTCATTATTTCACACATGGCCTCGCATGCTTGATATAGTTCATGACCCTCTCCTGGAAGTTTGGCCGCCCACATCCAGTTGGCAGAGCACTTCACATCCTAAGTATTGAAATAAACAATTTCATGTCTGAGGTGAATGAGAAGCGTCACCAGACATGTGGCTTTATTGATCAAATAATTACAGTACAGTTACATCCTGCAATAACACAAGCCATTATTACACTATACTTAGACACAGTTTAAGCACTCTCTATTCACTATAACAATAAGCCAACTGCACATGACTAAAGCTAGAATATACAGAAATTAAACTAGAAATTAACATTCCACAAACTTGTACACAAGCACGACACAGCTGATCTGACGATACAAACAAGTCAAGCAAGCATCCAAACAAAACAGTCAAGCGAGCATCCATCCGGTACGATAATATACTGTATAACTTTTACTACAATGTCTAACAATTTATTCAGCATTATTGCAGACCTTCCTAGATAAACAACAAAATTTAACTAACTTTCTGTAAACAGGAAAAGCAAGATTTGAAGTTAAATTCTTTAATATGCTTTATTAATTGCCTTAATAGCTTTTATTATGCAGCCTTTACATCCTGTGGTATACAAGAAAAAATTATTTCCAAAACATTTGTTTTCGATGTTAAAATCTATTACATGATCACGAGAAAGCAAAAACAAAAATAAATAAATAAATAAATAAATAAATATTGCAGGTGACATACTTTGGCTGTGATAGAGCAGAGAAGTTGAACAATTTCTGGGTACTGAGTAAGCGCCCAGAGAAGATAGCCCCAGCCACCCTGTACTTACCTAATTGTACTCACCTAATTGTGCTTGCAGGGGTTGAGCTTTGGCTCTTTGGTCCCGCCTCTCAACTGTCAATCAACTGGTGTACGGATTCCTGAGCCTATTGGGCTCTATCATATCTACATTTGAAACTGTGTATGGAGTCAGCCTCCACCACATCACTTCCTAGTGCATTCCATTTATTAACTACTCTGACACTGAAAAAATTCTATCTAACGTTTCTGTAGCTCGTCTGGGTACTAAGTTTCCATCTGTGTCCCCTTATTCGTGTCCCACCCGTGCTGAAGAGTTTGTCTTTGCCTACCCTGTCAATTCTCCTGAGAATTTTGTAGGTGGTTATCATGTCTCCCCTTACTCTTCTGTTTTCCAGGGATGCAAAGTTCAGCTCCTTTAGCCTTTCCTAGTAGCTCATTCCTCTCAGTTCCGGGACGAGCCTGGTGGCATACCGCTGAATCTTATCTAACTTTGTCTTGTGTTTAACTAGGTATGGACTCCAGGCTGGAGCTGCTTACTCCAGGATTGGTCTTACGTAAGTGGTATACAGGGTCCTGGACGATTCCTACATAAGTTTCTAAAGGCAGTTCTTATGTTGGTCAGTCTAGCATATGCCGCTGATGATATTCTTTTGATGTGGGTCTCTGGGGACAGGTTCGGTGATATCAACCTCCAGATCTTTCTATTTGACTCTTGCAGGATTTCACCTCCCAGATACCTTGTGTTCAGCCTCCTGCTCCCTTCGCCTAATTTCATTACCTTACACTTTCCCGAGTTGAACTTTAGCAGCCATTTTCTAGACCATTCCTCCAGTTTGTCCAGGTCATCCTGTAGTCTCTGTCTATCTTCACCCGTCTTGATTCTTCTCATAATTTTTGCATCATCAGCAAACATTGAGAGGAATGAGTCTATACCCTCCGGAAGATCGTTTACATATATTAGAAACAGGATGGGTCCAAGTACTGAGCCCTGTGGGACTCCGCTGGTGACATCTCGCCACTCTGATATCTCAACCCCCCCCCCCCCTCACTGTTACTCGCTGTTTCCTGTTGCTTAAGTACTCCCTTATTCACTGGAGCACCTTCCCTTCTACTCCTGCCTGTTGCTCCAACTTTTTTAACAACCTTTTATGGGGTACCGAGTCAAAGGCTTTCTGGCAGTCCAGGAAAATGCAGTCGGCCCACCCTTCTCTTTCCTGCCTAATTTTTGTTGCCTGGTCATAGAATTCTATTAAACCTGTGAGGCACGATTTACCATCCCTGAACCCATGTTGGTGGTGTGTTACAAAGTTATTTCCCTCCAAATGCTCTACGAGCCTTTTCCTCACGATCTTCTCTATCACCTTGCATGGTCTACAAGTTAGGGAAACTGGCCTGTAGTTCAGTGCCTCTTGCCTGTCACCCTTCTTGTATATTGGGACTACGTTAACCGTCTTCCAACTTTCTGGCAAGTCTCCTGTTTCCAGTGACCTGTTATACACCACAGAGTGGGGCACACTTAGTGCTTCTGCACCTTCCTTTAGTATCCATGGTGAGATTCTGTCAGGCCCAACAGCCTTTGCTACATCCAGCTCCAGCAGACACCTTTTGACCTCATCACTGGCAAGGTCAAATTCCTCCAAGGTTACTTAAAAAAAAATCAAAATGTTTATTTAGGTAAGGTACATACATAAAAGAGATTTTACAAAGAGTGATGGATTTATAGTTAGGGCTAATACATACAATGCCTAAAGCCACTATTACGCAAAGCGTTTCGGGCATAAAAAACTTAAATGACTAAAGCTTAATACTAATTGAGCATAAAGAGTAAAATGAAAACAAGGAATGAAAACATAGCTGAGAAAGCAGCACAAATACAATTCTGTCGACAAACAGCGCTCTTTAAAAAAAAACAGACATTGGTTGACAATAGAGGGGTAAGGTAGGTTACAGGGAATTTATTAGGTATAGCTTCGTTTTTATCTTAAACTGGTTGAGAGAGGTACAGTCTTTAACATGGATGGGAAGGTCATTCCACAATCTGGGTCCCTTGATTTGTGGAGCATTTCTAGTTTGATTAAGTCGTACTCTAGGAATATCAAAATTGCATTTATTTCTGGTGTGGTGCTCATGGGTTCTGTTACAACCTTCTATGAAGCTTTTGAGGTCAGGATTGGCATTACAGTTTAGCGTTTTATATATGTATAATACACATGAGAGAATGTGCAGTGACTTAATGTCTAACATATTCAGAGATTTGAGTAGGGGTACCGAGTGATGTCTGGGGCCAGAGTTGGATATTGTCCTAATAGCAGCTTTGTGTTGAGTAATTAGAGGACGTAAATGATTTTGGGTAGTAGAACCCCAAGCACAAATACCATAGTTGAGATATGGATAGATGAGGGAGTAAGAGAGAGTCACCAGGGCAGGGCGGGGTACTTGGTTTGTCTCCTCCTCATTTAGAGCAAGGGGCTTCTCTTTGTTCTATTGTGAAGACCTCCTGGAATCTCTTGTTGAGTTCTTCACACACCTTGTCATTCTCTGTGTATTTGTTCTCCCCCTTTCTCAGTTTCATCACTTGTTCCTTCAATGCTGTTTTCCTCCTAATATGTCTATGGACCAGCTTTGGTTGAGTCTTGGCTTTACTCACTATGTCATTTTTAAGCTGTCTGCTTCCCTCCTCATTTCTGGCCCTCTGGTATCTCTCCCTGTTTTCCGGTGTTCTGTTATTTCTGTAGTTTCTCCATGTTCTTTTACTCGGTTGCTTCGCTACCTTGCATTGCTGGTTGAACCAGTTTCTGTTTTTCGTTTTTCTTCTTTTGGACGGGGATAAATCTGTCTGCAGCTTCCTGGCCCTTCTGGATGACAAAATCCATCATGTCTTGCACATTCTTGTCTCTAAGTTCTGTTTCCCATGGTATTCCCCTGAGGAAGTTCCTGATCTCGTCATATTTTCCTCTTTGGTAATTTAGTCTTTTTCCCTCTGATCCCATCCTTGGATAGGTTATTCCTACCTCTACCAAGTACTTAAAAGTCAGTACACTGTGATCACTCATTCCTATGGGGGGATTCAACTTTGAGTTCCCTTATTTCTGACTCATTCAGGGTGAATATCAAGTCGAGTCTAGCTGGTTCATCATTGCCTCTCACTCTTGTGGGTTCCTTGACATGCTGGCTCAGAAAGTTCCTTGTTGCCACTTCCAAGAGTTTAGCTCTCCACGTAACTGCACCACCATGTGGGTCCCCATTCTCCCAGTCTATCTTTCCATGGTTGAAATCGCCCATGATTAAGTCTTGAGCCATTCCTGCAGGCAATTGAAGCTGCTCTCTCTATTATATTAATAGTTGCCATGTTGTTCCTATCAAACTCCTGTCTGGGTCTTCTGTTATTTAGGGGAGGGTTGTAAATGACTCCCACTATTATCTTAGGTCCACCTATTGTTATAGTTCCTGTTATGTAATCTCTGAACTCGTCACAGTCCGGAATTTCCACCTCATCAAAATTCCAGTCCTTCCTTATCAGCAGGGCCACTCCTCCACCTCCTCTCCCTACCCTCTCTTTCCTTACTATATAGTAGTCCTTTGGAAACACAGCATCTGTTATGACTCCTGACAATTTTGTTTCCGTGAGTCCTATTACATCAAGGTTTTCTTCTTGCTTCTTTCTGCCAGTTCACTTGCTTTATTGGTAATCCCATCAATGTTTGAGTACATTACCTTGAAGCTCACTTTCTTATATCCAATTTCACCCTCACTCCCCACAAGTGTAGGAAGTTGTTCCATGGTCATTGCTACTTTGGTAGACTCATCCTCCCATGAAGTAGTTGCCAGGGGTTTGGGGGGGAGGTGGAGTGGGGGATGGAGGGCTTAGGTCTCGCCTGGGCCTGCTTGGGGCAGGAAGAAGACCAGGGGCTGGGAAAGCAGGGGATACGTGGAGTAAGGAGAGATGGAGGATTTGGGTTTTATGATGGGCATTGTGCATGGGCAAGGAGGGGTTTGTGCTGGGAGATAGGGGGGGGGGGCCCTATTGGGTAGTGGGCTGGGGTGTTGCATTCCCCCCTGGGGTTCCCGAGTTGCTGGATTGGGGTTCCCTACTTCCCTTTGGGATTGCTGGGGTTGGAGGCTGAGGTTCCCTGGCTCCCTTCCCTCTCCTTGCGTCTTTTCCTTGCATCTGCTGCCCTTACTATCTTGTCTCTGGTCATGTCCCTCTGAACATATACCTCTTTGTAATTCCTTGCATACCTCAGTTTGTTCTTCTTTACTAGGATGTCCTCTTTGATGACCTCTCTCTTGAACACTACCT